TTATCTTTTTCTTTAGGAGCCTAAGAAGAAACCAGAATTGCCTGTTCATGAAGTGGAAGAAACAAGTACTGTAACATTAACTATTGAAAAACCTCAGGCTACCAAACCTGAAGAAGTAGTCTTACTTAAAGATGGAAAAGAGCTAAAACCTTCAGAACATGTGAAAATCTCTCCAATAACACAAACGACAACTGAAGTTCAAATTATCAAAGTTAAACCAGAAGATGAAGGCGATTATACAGTTAAAGTCAAAGATGTTGAACAACCACTTGTTCGACTTAAAGTTCATCCAAAACCAGTTATTCGACAAGAAATGCAATTACCAAAAACACGATTCAATGAAAAGGAAACACTTACTATTGTTTGTCAATTTGATGGCACACCTGAAGAACCATTTATCTTTCTTCATAATGATGAACCAATTGTACCAGATTCTCGTGTTACTACTACTGTAGAAGATAATAAATATACAATAGTTGTTAAAGATCTTCGTCCAGAAGAAGATGAAGGTGTTTATACACTTAAATCGGATCATTTGATTCTTGATACACCTTCAATTACTGTTGTTCCTGAAGAAAAGAAACCTGAAACAGAAACAACGATCATCAAAGAGGAAACAGTTACTATTGAAATTCCTGAGACACCTACTGTTGAAGTAGTTGAAGAGGTAATGTATTTAGGTGTAATAAAGAGCTGAATGAATATTTGTTAGCTTTTTCATGAATGAACATTTTGTCACCCTTTTATTTTTTTTAAAATACTATTTATTTTTTCATTGCAGACTATTGAAGAAAAACCAAAACCACCTGTTGAGCAACCATTAGTGAGTGAAGAAGAGACAGTGACTGTTGAAATAAAAGTAAGATTTTGTAAGTTTTATTATAGCATGAACAGTTTCTTTTTGTTTTTCTTCTAGCCGAAAGAAAGCGTTCCAGAAGCGATTGTTGAGAAACCAACCATCGAAGAAGTATGTTTATTCTATATTCTGATTTATCCTTCAATGTATTTATTTTTTCTAAATTCAGATTCCAAAAGAAGAAGAAGAAAAAACATATCGAAGTGAACTTGAACTTCAAATTGTTCGTGCTCCAGCAGGTGATACAATAACACTTCGTATACCTGATTCAAAAACAACAGAAAGAAACGAAATTAATCTTTATTTAAATAATCAACCTATTACAACATTGAACAAAGAAGATAGTCGCATTACAATTGAAAAAGATGGTGAAACTGATAATTACGTTGTTATTTCAGATGTTAAACCTGAAGATGCTGGTCGATATACTGCTGAATTTAATGGAAAGTTACAACCACTTTGTATGCTTGAAGTTACAGAACCGCGATTGAAAAAATCGGAAGCTCAAATTCCATTAAAAGAAGTTGTTGTTGAAGAAGTTGTTGAAGAAGAAGAAATTAAACCAGCAGAAATCCCAACATATGAAGTTGTTGAAGGTAATAGTATTAATCTCAAAATTGAAAAACCAAGAGATACAGATATGAAAAAAATATTTTTATTGCAAAATGATAAAAAATTGGAACCAAGTACTCGTTTGACAATCAAACCAATATCATCAACAACTATTGAAATAATTATAGAAAATGTCAAACCAAATGATGAAGGCACTTATTCAATTCAATTTGGTAATCAACCAACTGAAAAATTAATGATTTTGAAAGTTTTACCAAAACCTGTTATTCATGATTCTCTTCAATTACCAAAGGACGTGTTTGACGAAGGTGAAACATTAACCATCCAATGTGAATTTGATAAGAAACCAGATGAACCTTTGGTTTGGAAATTAAATAATATTCCATTAAGTCAACTTAAGGATGATAGAGTTACTATGGAAATAACAGATGATGGAAAATCATATATTTTAACAATCAAAGATTTACGACCTAAAGACCATGAAGGAGTTTATAAACTTGAAAATTCACATTTAGTACTTGAAACACCATTTATTCGTGTCATTGAGAATGTTCAAGAAGAAGAAGAAGAAACAACTATTTTAGTTGAAGATGAAGAAACGGAATCCATTGAATTACAACGAAAACCAAAGAAAGAAGAAGCAGAAGAAGTAAGCGAATCTAAATCTTTTTTTCAACTACGACGAAAATATTTTTCAATTTTTAGAAACCGGAAACTGTTACACAACCAACTGTATTAGAAGAAGGAAAACCTACACCTGTCGAAGAAGAGAAACCAAAACCGGTAGAAAAAGAAAAACCGAAACCAGCTGAAGAAGAAGCACCAAAACCGGTTGAAGAAGAGAAACCTAAACCAGTGGAAGAAGAAAAACCGAAACCAGTCGAAGAAGAGAAACCAAAACCGGCTGCAGAAGAAAAGCCAAAACCTGTCGAAGAAGAGAAACCAAAACTGGTTGAAGAAGAAAAACCTAAACCGACTGAAGAAGAGAAACCGAAACCAGTAGAAGAAGAAAAACCAAAACCGGCTGAAGAAGAAAAACCAAAGCCTATCGAAGAAGAGAAACCAAAACCGGCTGAAGAAGAGAAACCAAAACCGACTGAAGAAGAGAAACCGAAACTAGTAGAAGAAAAACCTAAACCAGTTGAAGAAGAAAAACCGAA